TTTCCATGACTGTTCTTACAGCTTCCGATTCTTCTCTCCTCATAACACGACCCAACCGTTTAAATATATTTTTTCTCATTTTATCCACTATTAGCGCTACACGCTCCTTTTTATATATTCGTTCCTTATCCTATCTTTTCTAGTCACTCCGCCCATCCATTTAAATATTCTCACCTATGCTACATTCATGCCCTTGTAAACCGCCGCCAAACACTGAACCGTGCATCATAGCTGGTCTCGTTACAATTTTATAGAAATTAACTTTCAGCCTCATTGGAATTCTCTTATTGCATAACACACCAGACGCTTTTCACAACTTAAAACTTTCCACCTCTTCAATCACATTCTCGTCTATTGTCACTGACATACTCATTTCACTTGCCTCGTGTTCTCTTTTGTCAAACTCGTACTGTAGTATATACAGTACTTCTACTTATTTTTAATCAATGTCATTCTATAACTGATCTCCATACCTATAAACTTTGATTAATTTCCTCCTATTAACACTATATCGTAAGCGAAAAATATGCACCACGGCACCCCCCTTGCATTTCTCTAGTAATTTTATCCATCGCTATATAAAATAAGTAAGGGCACTCCTTCTCGTATTCTAAAATCTTCTGCCTACACTTTTTACCCTGGTATCAGTGTCATCATATACATATCCTCTATTTCATTAATGTATCTCTTTGAGGCTCCTTTTCTCATTGATGCCAATTTTAGAACCTCTCTTAGTACTCTATCGTATGCTTTTTCCAAATCTATAAATATCATACACAGCTTTGTCTCTTTTTCCCTATACTTTTCTATAGTTGTCTCACACAAAAAACTGGTTCCATCGTTGACTTTCCAGGAAAAAAATCTAACTAGTTGTTTGTTACTGATGTAACTCGATCACTCTGTATATATATATATATATATAATTATAAACAAATACAAAAACATACAACTCTATCATTGAAGGGACTTTTACAGTCTGCCAAAGCTACAGTTGCAGTAGTATAATAAACATTGTCATGTCCAAAGTTATTTTTTGAGTTTAATGTTGTATTTTCATTTTCTAATAAATTGAACAACAATATTAATGTTTGTGACATTATTATTCAAATAATAAGATTAAAATTATTCAAGAGCAATTAACTTTTAAGCTTGAATATAAAAAATTTAATTTTTTTAATTTAATTATCTGAGAAACAATTATTGATTTCTAATTAAACAAATCCCGTTTGAATAATATGATTTATAATAAGGGTTTTATGATTGTAAACATATACTTGAGAAAGATTTCTGTATCCGCTAAGATAATTATATTATTTACTAATAATATTAAAATAAGATAATAGGAATATTTAAGAGGAGGGTAGTTTTGTGGAGGGAGCTTAGAGGTCTGGTTCCCCAACACCGATTTTTTTCAAAATATACATATACATGATAAAATTTACACGATAATTCAAGCCACTTGATTTTTTTTAAATAATAACTTTATTGTACATTTTTTTTTGGCTTTTTTGTTAATTACATATGTATCTGTTTAATAAAACACTTTTTATGTTTATCCCTTAATTTTATAAGGGTATCAACTTCATTTTTTTAATAAATACATATATAACTAGTTTATAAAATAGAATTTGATCTAAATAAGCCACGAAAAATAAAAAATTCATAAAAAAATGTTTATATTAAGAGAAATTAAGTTAAATAGTGTTAAAAGTATCATACTGTGTATACCTAACTCTATATATACATATATTTATTTATTTATTAATTATATAAGTTTCAAACGGGACAAGCCCAATTACAAAAAATTTTTAAGTAAAAGTAACATCATTCGTAACAATATTATTAATAAAGAAAAACAAACAGTGAAAATGAAAAAAAAAAAAAATTAAAAGCTATAACTAAGAATAAAGTATTACAAATATAGCAACAATTAGTGCTTGTAATGTACAATGTAAGCATACCGTAAAGAAGAAATAACACAAAAATCAAAAATTAAATTTTAAATAAAACTAAAAAACGTGTGAATTATAAAATATGAATTTGCAATAAGTTTTAAATGAGTGGAAGTTTGGTGAGATGAATAAATCAATTTTTAAATTATTAACTGTTTTCATAATTCTGTTTATGGGAGAGTTACTAGCATAGTTCATTGTTGTAGTGTTAATGTAAAATATTTTTATATTACAGGTGCTACAAGATGGTACATGAAATGAAAATCGATTCAAAAGTATCGGACAATCTATTTGACCAGCAAAAATTTTAAAGGTAAAATAAATATCTAACCGCATTCTTCGTAGTTCCAATGTCTCAAGATTCATAATTGCTAATAGAGGGTTGTATGAAGAATGAGGTTCTCTTGGTATTAATCACTTCAAAGAAATAAAGCGTAAGAATTTTTGTTGGATTTTTTCCAATTTTAATTTATAACTGGTTTGGTAAGGAGACCAAATTATGGAGCCATATTCACAAATTGAGCGAACTAACGAGCAGTAAATGGATTTAAAGGCATCCTTATCGATAAAGTCGCCACAATTACGTTGAATGAAGCCTAATATTTTGTTTGATCTTATAAAAAAATTATTAATATGACTATCAAATTTGAGTTTAGAATCAAACAAAATACCAAGATCTTTTATCGGTCCCATACTACGAGATATTATTTCTGCATTTATATGGTAGACGAATTTAGGAACGATTCTAGCTCTGGAAAATGACATTATCTTACATTTATTAATATTAAGAGTAAATTTATTATTGATACACCATTCATAAAGAGAGTTTAGATCTGATTGAAGTAAATCAGAATCAGATTGACAATTAACTCTACGAAAAATTTTTATGTCATCAGCAAACATTAATTTAGAACAATTTTGAAATGTAATATCATTAATAAAAATTAAAAATAAAATTGGTGCTAAACGAGACCCTTGAGGAACACCCGACATAACAGGTATAGGTATAGACCAATATTCTTTATATGCAACTATTTGATGTCGATTTTTGATAAAAGAAATAAGCCAGGATAGAAAGTTACCACAAATACCAATTTGCTCTAATTTATAAAATAAAATTTGATGATTAATTTTATCAAAAGCTTTAGCAAAATCTGTGTAAACAACATCTACATTTGATTTATCTGACATAGCATCAGAAACAAAAGTATGAAAGTTAAGCAGATTAGTAATCGTACTCTTGTTACGAGTGAAGCCATGTTGATTATCAACAATAATATTATTTAAAAGGGGTAATATTTTAGTTGCTATAATAGATTCAAATATTTTTGGTATAAGGGAAAGTAAAGATATTGGTCTATAGTTAGAGATATTTAAAATATCAGTAGAGGTCTTAGGAATAGGTCGAATGAGGCTAGTTTTCCATGCGTCGGGGAAAGTACCAGATGACAGTGATAAATTAAAGATAAGAAATAGAGGTAGTGAAAAAGAATTTAAAGAGCTAAGAGACTGAAATATATCAATTAATTCAATTGAGACAGAGTGCATAGAAGAAGAAAGAACTTTAGGCGGTACATTATAATTGTAATTTACATTAACATTATTGTAGTCTTCGTAAACACTGGAGAAATAATTAGCAAAAGCATTAACAATGTTATTAGGAGTAATAAATTCTTCATTGAATAAATGTAAACTATTCGGCAGAAAATTATTATTACGTTTGTTATTAATAAATTTCCAGAGTTGATTAGGATGAGTTTTTAAATTATTTTGAATTTTTNCATTAGGATGAGTTTTTAAATAATTTTGAATTTTTTTTAAGTAATTTTGATAGTCAAATTTTGAAAAATATTTACATTTTCCACGAAGATTAGAAAATTTATTATTATCACTCACCAAACCCGAACTCTTAAAAATTTTATGGGCTATATTTTTCTTAAAAATTAATTCTTTTAAATTTCTACTAAACCATGGAGGATGAGTAGAATGTTTTTTAATAATTTTAGGTACAAAAATCTCAAAAATTTCATAAATAATAGAGTAAAACAAATTGACAGCTTAATTTACACATAGGTCTTTAAATAGGTTATTCCAGTCGATCGATGATAAAGTGAAATTAATTTCCGCGTAGTTACAATTAAAAAAATTATAAATAGAAAAATTATAATCAATCGGTTTATTTACAACTATGGGAAAAGAAATGAGTAAGCCAGGATGATAAGCATCACACGGAACAAGAGGATTATTAGATTTTTTAACAGACACATTATGTAAATCAGAAAAAACTAAATCCAAAATTGATCCAGTTTTGTTATAAATATTGTTGTATTGAAAAAGGTTTAAAAAAGATAATTTAGATAGAATTTCAGAGTAATGGTTACTTAAGTTTTCTAGACTAGGAATAAATCCATTGGATGTATGAAGCCATATATAATCAGGAAGATTGTAATCACCAACCATAATTAAGTTTTTAACATATGAAAACTTCAATAATAAATTATTAATAATATCGAAATGAATATTATAAATTGAAATGTCTGGTAGAGGAGGAAAATAGACATTACCAATAATTATATAATTAAGATTAATTTTAGTTATGACAAATATGTATTCGACTGGACTAGCCGGTACAGGTAATACGCGAGAATGGAACTTATTGTTAACCGATAACAAAACACCACCACCTCTGGAATGAGTACTTGTGTTTTGGTTACGGTCACAGCGATAGGTAGTATAATTGGAGAGTCCCAATTCCGATGTATTGACGTTTGTAGATAACCATGTTTCACACAGACCGATAATATCGTACTCAGATAAACAAACATTAAAATATTTAATTTGGTGTTAAAGCCACGTACATTTTGATAGTAAAATTTTAAGTTTCTATGGGCTGACTCTCTTACTAGTTTTTTGAAATGGTTGGAATACCTTTAACAAACTTTAATATTAAATCTGATTCCCCAGCTGTTTTACGTTCCTTGAGTTTAGATAAAACAACACGAAGATGATTTCGTTGCATTAAGGTGCGATCCGGAGATATACGAATAGATCCATATACTGGAGAAGTACGCAGTGTTTATTTATTCTTAAGAACAACAAATATATCAGATGGTTCCCGAAAAGTAACTTTTATTGGGCGTGGTTTACCCGATTTTTGTCTTAATCTAGATAATACAGTATATATAGAATGATTTTTTTATAATAACCCACTGAATTACTTGCAGAATAATAATAATTTAAACATTTTTTTTTTTTATTATTTTTAGTTACACATTATTCTTGAATTTTTAACTATGTAATACTTTTTAAGTTCATCCCTTATGCCTTGGAGGGGGGTCAACTTTGTTTTTTTAAATGGTAACACATATTTTTAATTTAATAAAATGTTTGAGTTTTTAATTTAATAGTAAATGGCATTTGAATTTTTAATATAACTTTATTAGCTTATTAGATATAAACATTTAAAGTTTCAAAATTTTGAGTTAATATACATGTATAATACACATGGGATTGTAAATACAGGTAGCTAATTGGATTTTTATAACATCGATATTAGCAGGTACACAGCATTGTTATTATCAATTGTAGTAAGGCACATTATTATGAGTTTATAAATACACTAACTGACAATACAGAAAGTATATCTATTGATAATAATAATTGATAATAAACAATCCGTGACTGAGACAGCAAAGGCATAAGGGATGAACTTAAAAAGTATTACATAGTTAAAAATTCAAGAATAATGTGTAACTAAAAATAATAAAAAAAAAAAATGTTTAAATTATTATTATTCTGCAAGTAATTCAGTGGGTTATGATAAAAAAATCAACCTGTATATATATATTTTAGACCGCTTCTAAACATTTATTTTGGATACAGTTCTACTTTAGAGGATATACATTTTTAACTAAACTAAGGTAGTACCGAGAATAATTAAGCTATAATTTATTACTATTACCATTTTCTTCTGGGTCATAAACATCATCATGCTTCTAATAAATAATAATAGTAATAGAATTAAAAAAAAATAAAATATTTTTATTTGAGTTAATTACTAAAATGCATCCTCTGGCGTTTTTAACGAGTGTGTTGTATTCTTGGCGAGAGTAATCACATCTTCTAAATGAACTCATAATTTTAACAAAGCTTTATAATTTTGAAATTTTTTAATTAACAACTTTTAAAATATGTAGTTTACATATTTCAAATAAATAAGATTATCAAAAGATAAAATCGTTGGCTGTAAATCATATTATAATTGTTGATTCATTATCATAAGATTTCAAAATTCAAGCCAATTTTATAAATATGATTTTAATAGAATCTTAATATTAATTTAATAATTAAAAAAGAAAATGTTTTTTTTGTGTACTTTAAAAAATTCAAGTTATGATGAATTTTGTATAACTGTTAAAATTGTATAACTTTTAATTGATTTTAAGAAATATTATTGTTTTAATAAAAATGCGGATTATGTATTTAAAAATAATAGTATATATTAAGACGTTTATATTAAAGGGGTGTACCACCACTTTGTAGGACCACCTCAATAGTTTTAAAATTTTTCTAGCAAATTGTTCAAACTATAAATATGTAGTAAGTAGCGGAAAAGATATCAAATAACTTCCGAATTAGTATAATATAAAGTTTTTAACACTGTAGTAAGCAATTTTAAATTTTTAAGTAAAATAATAATGTCATGTAAAGGGAAAATGCAGGGTAAGCAAGTTAAAAATGTTGGGAATAAGAATATATAAAGGGAAACGAGAAAAGTAAAGGGGATTAACGTTTTCGATAAGAAATGTTTGATGACGAGGCAGTACTTTTTAGCGCGTTAAACTTTATATTTCGAACGGATTAATTTATATTGTGTTACATTATTGTATTATATTTTAATATTGTGTTTCTTACGTTCTATAATAAAAAAATAACTGTTTGAAACCTGCTCTTGGTGTAAATACTTTATATCCGCCTTGTTGTTGAAATTGTGTGTGTGAATGCGACTAGAATCAAGGTTGGACTGCTGGTCCTTTAGTCCACTTAACAATTAGTGTACGTGATGGCTAGTTTTTGGGCTTAACCGTCAATTATTAGGTATAGTAAAAAAGTAGTATTGCTGGTGGCTGACGAAGATCCACCCTTCAATTTGTTACTTTTGATCTAGACCGTGCTGATGGGTCTAAAAACTACCCCTTTAGTGGTTTACGAATTGGAGGGATTGGGTTGACCAGTGTACCAAACGGGAGGATTTGAGAATAACCAAAACGACAAACTTGATAATCAAAATACTAATTAATTTGTGTATCTATTTGGGTAACACTGACGTACGACAAATATTAAAATGATAAACTATATTTTGTTGCATTTTAACAATAATAATTTTAAATTATTTTCTGAGAAATTTTAAAATATCTGAGACAGTATGTATCGGCATCTTTTCCTTAAAATTAGTAAGTAATATTCTTATCAAATCCATTATATATCGATAAATTATTTTAATCGTTTTTCCATTATTTTTCGTGAATTAATTAATATTTTTATTTATATTAATATATAATTATTAAATGTTACATTGTATTTTCATTATTCATCAATATACTTTGAAAGTACAATGGCGTTCTGAGTCATTAGACTCTGTAGATATTTTCTAAAAATATTAAGAATCAAAAATATAGTTCAATTAAAAATGTCTTTGAATGGAAAATCTTTCCTTTTCCCCTAAAAACATGCATATTAAATATTTTTGCGATTTAAGTTTGTTAAGTTCTCATTTAAATAAGTTTCTTAAAAAAAATAGAATTCTAAATAGAAGCCACTAGTTCTTTTAAATTTGTAGCTGCTAGTAATAAGTTTAAACCTTCAAAATTGATGTATATTGGTAATCTTTAATTACATAATCATATCTAACTGAAACACTCAAAAAAATTGTAAATAACCTACTACTACAATGACGTATTTATGGAGGTCATATGGGTATCATATTCTTCACGACAAAAATAATTGAAGAAGATACATTTTTTTTGCTTAGAGAGAAAGTGAAAATTTTTTTTTATGTATATACCTTTCAAGATAAAATCCTAACTACGTCTCTGTATTTCTATAGTTTTACTTGTAAAATGTAGTAAATTATATTTATTTAACTAGCAAGAAGGTGCATCAATTGTTTAAACATTTGTTATAAAAATTATTATTTTTACTAAAACTACATAATGATAATATTTTGTGGATAGCAATAAGTTTTCTGTTACCACTCTTTCAAAACAATTTTATTCATAACAAACAAGTTGAAAATAAAGTTATTAAATCTAAATTTCTCTTGAATCATTGTATAAAAACATTATGACACTTCTCATTAGCGATAATTATGTTTTACTTGGGTCTTTTTTTATTCAGTCTTCGTTTCCTTAGGATAACTCTATATTAAACAAAAACGTTTTATTTGACATGCCAATAAAAAATTATAGCAATATTCAATCAGAGACTGTTTCCAAAAAATTGTTCAACTAAATCTTACTTTTTCCCGGTGCAACGTTCATATAATGTGTGTGATACAAGTCTTATTTTTCGTGACCGACAGGTCCAACAAAAAGATGACATTGCTGGTCTTCCATTTCTTATGACAACTAATCGAGATGGAGTATTATGTCCAGTCATATATTTACATTTTATACAATAAGAAGGCCTGATGAATTCATTACATGCAATACATTCTGTATCGTTACCCAAATACCTCCGATTGGGTAGATCATCTGTAGTGGGAGGATCCCGTGGGTCTGGTTCTTGTGGGTGAATTCGTAAATCCATTAGTTGTTTGGAATATAAGACATCCTAAATAATATAAAAAGCACATATATTTACATTTCACAAAATAAAATCAAAATACATACAAAAGTTTTTTCAAACAATTATAATTTCTATAACGTGTCTATAGTGATATCTTATACTCAGTTACAAATAAATAATTTACTTAAAAATAGTGAAATCGATATCTTTTTAATAAACATTTTAAATGATCAATTGTTACAATAACAGTAGATTTCATAGATAGATTGATTTTTTGTAATGAAATTTCTTATATGTTCTCAATATTCGTCTTACTAATATTACACTTCCCAGAGGAATCTAAATGGAAAATAAAATTATTTTTACTAATAAAAAATAAAATCGTATTACTTTCGATAATTCAATATTCTATGATTTAAATGAATATTTAGTTATATATGATTATGAATATAGTATTTATTTTTGATTACGAAATTTTACCGAATTCCCAAACGGCATAAAATTACATCATACAACAATATGATACTTACAATACTGTACATCTAAATTGATTGTTTTCTGATGAAATTTCTAATCTACTTTATCCTTAGGGAGTATCTCTCATATAAATTGACAGATATATTAAACGATAATAAGAACTTTGTATTTAATTTTAAGATGTTTAGAAAATGGTACTTATATAAGAATGTTGCACTAATATTTAGCAACAAGTTGCCATCAGTTCTCGACAAAGTCTGTACCATTTGGCTCAACCAGAATTGTTCTCTATTAGGTAAGATTATAGTTAATTTATATAATAGTTAATAATTTTTACACAAGTATTTTATTTAGTTCAAATTCTATATTAACAATTATTAATTTCTATAAGGAAATTTAATATTGTCGCAAAAAAAATATGGACTTTAAAAGCAACTTTGTTGGATACCTAATGGCTGCCATGTTAATACTTTTTTCTATGAGTTCTATCAATGCATATAGAAAACCGCCATTCAATGGAAGCATATTTGGAAAAAGAACTATGACGACGGCTGGAAATTATAATAATTTAGGTATGTATTTACCTTAATAACATTCTAAATAGAAGCAGTATCAACTATCTTTTTTTTAGGAGAAGAGTTTAAATGAAATATATTTTGTTAAAATACATATATACAAATTTATAAAAATATGTATGTAAAAATATTTTCATCTAAGATAACATATATTTTTACAGGATTTTTCTTTTTAGGGATGTTTTTGTTAATAAGATAACAGAGTTTTATTTTTAAAAGTCAAAATGACCTCTACTTACACTTTTTACATTTGTTTATTATATACGAATAAGATTAAAAATAAATAAAAAAAACCCAGTATACTGTGGTCGCGGCACAGTTGGGACGTGACATAGGTTGGTTTAAACATGGATAATATCTGACAGTGATTAAAATCACTATTATAAAAAACGCTTCGATGTAAATCTGTAGATAGTGTTTAATTTTAAGAAATTGGTCGATTATTCCAAAACCTACATGATCTCCTATTTCCTTATTTATATCCTGGTTGCTAGTTTTTTTATTTATAAGTGTAATATATAAACAAATATATATATATACACATATTTATAATATACATAAATATATAAAGGGAAATGGTTTTAAAAAAAAGTATGTCGCATAAGAGAAGAATATAAATAGCACTTATCTTAAAAAAATTATAGCGTTATGAAGATAAAAATATAAAAAAGAATTTTTATATAAGAATCGTATTTTTTTTATCAACTTTGATGTCCGTTTTCACTATCAAAAACAAAATAATGTCCGAATTTTTTTTTCTCCATAATAAAGAATATTATATAAGCTTTAATTTAATATATATATATAAAAGTGTCAGTATTTCCGGAACATATTCAAAAATTAAGCTGAAAAAGTTCTTTTTCTATATGCTTTTTTAAGTATTTAACCCCCCTATTATTAAAAGAAATTGTCCGATTTAAAAAGAAAAGTATGTCGAATGAAATTAGTGTATCAATATTATTTCTTATAAAAAAATTGTAATGATTCATAGATTTTTTAAAAAGTTATAGTATTATAAAGTTAAAAATGTAAAATATAAAATCGAGAATTTGAACACAAAAATAGCATACGGCCTTTTTCATCATGAAGACAAAATAAAGTCCGAACATTTTTTTTCTATATTAAAGTATATTATATAAGCTTTAATTTAAGGAATATATAAATGTGTCAGTATTTCCAGAACATTTTCAAAAGTTATGTTGAAAAAGTAAATCTTTTGTAAAAAAGTTGTCATTTTGAATCCCCCCTGTGGACAGGTAAAGGAACAGATATATTAAGTCTCAGGTGTTTTAAGAAAGAATAAGTGTAACGCTATTTTTTTTTTTTTTGGAAAAAAGAGTCATGTACTATTAGAAAATTCAGGCTATATTTTATTAAATACTTACGGAGAAATAAGAACGTANTTCAGGCTATATTTTATTAAATACTTACGGAGAAATAAGAACGTATAGTTTAAGGATCACATTTAGATAAAACTTAACAAACATTCAAATTCCGAATGGCTATTTGTAAAATAATTACTTTCAAGATAAATTTATACAAAGAAAATTTTGACTTTTAATAACAAAATTTTTATTATTAATGTAGCTACACTAAGTTAATATTTTGTTATTAATTTCAAAATATGAACTTGTAGAAGTAGAAATAGTGTAGTTTGCATTTAAATTAAAAATACTCAACATAACTATTTTTATTATTTTACAGATTATGAAAATCCAAGTAAATCTTTTTACGCCATGTGTGAAATTGCATCTGACGCTTGTCAAGCATGGTTTCCAAGTGTAGAAAAGAAATAAATACTTCAATTCTAATCGTCGAATAAAATTAAGGGGCAGATTGAGCCCCTGATAAATTAGGAAACCACAATTACCCTTAGATGAATATTATTTTATTCTCGTAGTGAGTTTAATAAGTGTTTTAATTTTTATGCTTATCCTTAAATGGTTTTCTTTTTATCAAATAATTGAAACAAGTTGTATGATTCATTTAATATTTATTAATAAAATTATTTATACAGTGTAGTATAAGGGCAAATAAAAATATATATTTTTTTTTGAGATTTCTTTTAAAAAAATGAAAATTGTATAAAATTACATCAAATATTTATTATTTCTTTAAGGGTGTAAACTAAACACTCATAAATTTGTATTTATTTAGTCTAATTAGAGAAATATCTATAAGTTATCTAATAGTTTCACTTCTCCTCACAATAAAATATATAATTGCCAAATCTTGAGCAATTTCAATTTTTTAATTCTTCACGATCTTAAATATTTTACTTTTTACTTGTTTCCCCAGGTAATTATCATTATCATACCTTTTCTAGCTTGTATAAATTATTATGGAAATAATTCCTGATCGTTAATAGCCTAAATTTGTCCATAATATTAAATTTAGAATAAAATACTATATATTTGTTATTTATACCTAGGTAGTCAATTTGTAGTGTAATTCTAAAAATAAATGCTTTTAACAAACCTAATTTATTTTATAATTTAAAATAAAACACTATTGAAAAAGTATACTTATTAGTAATAGTGGTAAAATCGAGATTTTTTGCAATGCGGTATAGTATTCAAAAGTTTAAAAAATTTCTTCAATTTTATAAATTACTTAACATGCAGCACTATCAAGAAATGTAAATCATATGAGCTAGAAAGGATTATAAACCTTTTAAACTCCCCTTATGCCACTAATCAGAAAATATGTTAGTAATTTCATCTATGTTTAATAAGTTAGAAAAAAAAAGTAACAGTTTTTTATAACTATCAAATAATTTTAATGTTCAACTTTGGTAAGGCAAGGTATAAAACTAATTTTATACCTTTATTTTTATGATCTTAAAAATAATATATACAAGTATTGAAAAATTGATACTAAGAATAATTTATTCCAATCATGAAGTTTTAACTACTAAGTATAATAATATAAATACCTAATTTTAAAGAAAATATTAGAATTACTCATTAAGTAAAATTCAGTTCATCATTGTTTTAAAATACAAATAGAGATCTCTTTTAATGCTAAACAATTTTATACTAAAATAATTCTTAAGAAATATACAAAAATAGTACTTGTTAAAATACTTTGATACTGCATGTACACATGAGCATAGTTTATGAGCACAAAATTAATAGCAAATAATGAATCATATTTTGTATTTTAAAAAACTATCAAATTTAAAAACTAGAAAATACATATAAAATATTGATTGAATAGTAGTGTTTCAACTAACAATTTATTTTTTAGAATTAAAATTAATAATGTATAAAACCTGTACAATTAACAAAAAAAGGGTATATAATTAATTTAAAAATAAATATAAATATATATATACTTTTTGTAGTTAAATATTTTTAGCAAAGAATTCTAATATATGATACTAAGAAAAAAACAAATGAACCTTAGAAATAAACTTCAATCATTAATATTAAATTATAAAACCATCGAAAAACAAATATAATATAAAATAAAACAAACATAACATAATCAATAAGAACATAAAAAAGTTTAAACAAATATCTAAGCCATAGAGAAATTAGAACAAGGTGTTTTAAGAAAACGTTTGACTACAATAATATAATAACACAAAATAAAATAAAATAAATGAATATTTAACAATATATTATTATTTAATAAATAATAAATAAATTATTAATACACTAAAAATATTAATTGCACTTTTAAGTAATGATAAAAAAACCAGTTATGAGTAAAGAACATGAAATAAATAAAGAAAACATCACTACATTTTTTCTTACTAAATATGATACTTCATATATTTTAAATTATTATTAAATTATAACTGTAAATATTAATAAATTTTAGACAAACACAATGAAAAATATATAATTTTTTAAAAATAACTGTGGTATGCACAATTTTATCACATTAATGAAAAAAAAAACATAAAGATAGAAAGAGAATTAAACATTTTTGTTTATAATTCAGTTAAACAAACTGGGAAGATGTTAAATCTATTTTTTTAATACCTAAATATAGAACAAATTTCCAAATATTAGTAAATATAGTTTATATAAGGTTTTATCATGAAAAAATATATAATATCAATCTAGAAATTGGTTGTCACAAAAATATTTTAGATTTACATTGCTACTAAAATTTTAAAACTATGATTTATAACACAAAATATTTTTTAGAACTTGTAAATATGATTAAGAATAAATTTATGTGATGTAAAACATAGATTTTTCATATTAAAGATACTTTTCTTATACCTACATAAATAATCACTAAAAAAGAAATTGAAGGGACATAAGTTTTAATAATATTATACAAATATATGTCAAAGATTGGAAGGTAATCAAGGAGTAAACCCTTCAGTTATATGTTTCCACACATAATCTGCTAAAAGTGAATTGCCAAATTCACTTGAGTGAATATTGTAATCTCAACTATGTTTTGGATGTCCATCTATACCTAATTGATGACGAGGTAGCTACACATAAAATCAATTATATTAGGTCTTATTTTGAGATATTGACAATTTATTATAAAATTTCAAAGTTTATTACTTACTCCCACATTAGGTATCTGCTGTATGTTAGATGAATACATCTGATTGAAATTAATTTGACTAGAATTTTGATTAGTCTGTCTTCTGACATCTGATCTTGGATCTTGAATATTTCCACGAATAACAACTTGAGATGGAATACTATTAGGTACATTGTGATGTACTTGATGTCTAAAAATAAATACATGTTTTCATTGTTATTTCTGAATTATTGTGTTTTTATAATATTTTTACATAACAAGATTTTTTTAACATATTAAAAAAACTGGAAAAAATATAATTTATCCATTAAAATTATTGCTTTAGATCAAAATATATTTATTTGTTGTCTTAAATTACACAATTGTTACCTGTTTGGCATGGAGTGATTTTGATATCTATGCTGTAATTGAGTGTCTAGAGATTGAAGACTGGATTGATAATTAGGTCTCGAAAGAACAATAGTTTCTGAGTGATTATTCATGAGGGATGTAGATGTTGTAGTAGGTGTTCTATTACCAGCATCTGTAAATTAAAAAAATAATAACACAACGAAAACAAATTAATTTACAATTTCCCGTTTTAGTTTTTTTTAAATTGCAGTTATAATCGTGTAAAATTGGTAAAAAATTTTTTTTTTTATTTAATCAATCTTTATTGAAAATTAAGCTTTTCACTTTACATTAAAAGCTGCAGTAAGGGAATGTGGCAAATATTTTTGGTAAACTCAAAAAGATATTTACAAAAGTTTTTTTTAAGTCGTCTACATATTTGACATTATCAAAAAAAAAAGGTAAAAAATTATTTTTGCTGGTTATAGAAAAAATGATACAATTGAGTTATAACTGATTTCACCTGTCACAAGCAATCAGTCAATTAACCGATTTGAAATATAAAAGTATCTTTCAGAATAAAATAATTAATAGGTAGTATATACTTTGAGCTGGTGGAGGTTGCAATGGTAAAGCTAGTCTAGCATTTACAGCTAATAAGTGGTCACGGCGTTTTGTATAGCTTGCTAGTTCTTCCTCTAAATTTATATTTTCATTTTTTAGCTGGTATAAGCAAGTCAACAATGAAGCAACTAAAATATTATTTTTTGATTATTTAACAATATCAATAATAATAATTTTGACAAAATATTATAATTTACTGTCAAAATGCTGAGCTTGCTCCATTAGAAAAGCACCCCCTTGTTCCCAATGACGTTCGAGTAAGTCTTCTAAACCATAAGTACTATTGTTGTTTAGACCATTAGTAAGTGATGACCATGTTGTTGGAACTGACCCTTGAGATTGAGATATTTCCTAATAATAAAAATTTCTTCAATAAAAGAAAGTTTCTACAAGAAGTAAACTAGGGTGAAATAGTTAATCATAGAAAAAAAAATTTGATGAAGTTTTGTCAGAGTGTATACCATATAATTGAAATTATTCATGGGAAAAAAATAGTAATTTTAAAAATGATACTAATAAAATTGATAGATCTCTGATATACCTTCAGGTAGTATTGTATTACAATTATACACTATTATTTTAAATTACAAATATATGTGAATTTTAATAATAATAATTTAAAGTGGTAGTTTGAAGTTGGGTATGAACCCTTTTACACCATCTTTTTTAAATTATACTTTTATATTTTTTAATTGTTTAATATTAAAAAATAATTTTTTGATTTTTGGTTATATACACTCTATTTACCAACACCATCAATACTTAACATGCATTCAATATTTTCTTTGCATAGGTATTGTATACTATGATTCAAATACTTACTGATTGACTGATAGGGGGTGGTTTTGGATGGCGTCTAGGTAGTTGAGGACCCATAACTGATTGTTGTGGTTGACTAGAAGGTCCATTTCTTTCTCCGCTAAATTTTTTATGAGTTTCAATTTCTTCATTTAAAGTGTCTACCATATTTAGTGCCATACTTGAAGAAGAATTCAATGAGTTTCCTAGCATATGAACAGCATTGCTATTGGTTTCAATTCTAAATACAAATAATTAATAAATAAGCTATTTCATTTTGAATATTTCTTATGCTTAGTTAAAATGTCTTCAGCAAGGCTTCAAATTAAAAATGTATGTATATTTTTTACTTAGTTATAACATTAATATTTAGATGTGTTTTAAAATTATAAGAAATTATTTGTTTTAAAAATTTTCTATATAAAAGTTATTTATTAGATAATATAAAACTTTTCGTAGTACTATTAATTGTTTAAATACTACAGAAAAGTCGTATGATTATTTATTAAAAATTTTTTTTAATCTATTTGTCTAAATATACTGTAATAATCTCTAAGTTATTAACTTTAATATACTAACACTTTTTTTTCCATTGTCTCTTTTTTTGATGCAGTATGAGTTTTTTTAGCACTGATTACACTTGTTTCTTGCTTCCATACATTTTGCTCTGGTAATTTTATTAAATTAACTCCAGGTATATCTAATTATACATAAAATCACAATTTAACATACAACAGATTTCCATAAAAAGTAAATGGGCACTGACTATGCCCACCCTTTTAATAATTAAAACTAAAAACAAACTAACACAGCTTTGTATAATAAATAGATAATAAATTAAGAAATTATCTATAGATGTTCTTTTTTGTTTTAACTCACTTGACTTTATAACAATTGTTTTGGTTTCAGACTTGCTTATATTTGATTCTTCAATAATTTTAGCTCCAATATTTTGATTTTTATAACTATTTGAAGATTCAGCATGCATAAGGTTTTCAGTTTTTAGAATTTTAGTGGGTTTACCAGATTCAGAGTCATATGGATGTTGATTTTTGATACCTGTAGTCATATTTTCAGTTTTAGTTCCAACTGAAATGATTAAACTTCCAATAGGGCTCGGTGAAACAATGTGTGGCTGTGAATTTTTCTTTTCATTACTTTGTGTACTTGACAAGTTTATTTCTTTATGATCTTTTCCTTTTTTTTCATTTACTACTTTGTCACCTGATAAAATATTTCTAAATTAGAATAAGATAAAAATTAAAAAATAAATAAACGGTAGCACAGTGGGGTTGTAGCATAATAGGGACAAGTATAGATAATATCCGACAGTGATTAAAATCACTATCATAAGAAATGCTTTGATGCAAATCTGTAGATAGTGTTTAATTTTAAGAAATTGGTAAAAGCTGAGAAAAAGTGGTGATAAAAAATATAGACAATAAAAAAATATATATATAATAAAATAAATATCTATTCAGCTTTGCATCAAAGCTAAATAAAATATTTTAAAAAATATTTATAATATTACCAGAAACAGTTAACTTTTTTTTTTGTTTTGAAGCCAAAGATTCTGTGTCAGGATTAGATACAGTTAGCTTTTCTGGTGTACATTCATTAGAAGAATTTTCAGTATTATTTTGTGGACGATAAGGAGCTATAGGCTTTATATTGTTGCTTTTTTTCTGAAATTATCAATATGATACATATGTAATTCAAAACTTTACATAAAATATAAGCTGTTTTGAATGCATACTAATTTTGAATAGTGGTGTTTGCAATAACCAACATATTTTACATTATCTAAATAATTGCCAGCCTCTTCACACAATAATCCAATACTTTGGGCACAAGTAACATGCATACCCAATTTACAACCAGTTTTGTTACATGGCATGCAAGCTCCATAAGATGCTGATTTTGATACTTTGTTTTTTTCGTCACAAATATAGCAAGCCTAAAAGGATCCAATAATTTAGATATTAGAAAATTTTCATAAAAAATATCATAGTTTTATTGATTTAACACAACTTAGTTTATATTAGGTAAGAAAATAAAGGACACAATGATTTAAAGGAAAATGAGAATAAAAGCTTTAATTTAATTCTTAATACTGTTAAATAATTAATAAAATAATCTATTATATAATTATTAATTGATTTACCCTATTAAAACGATCTCGTGGTATTGCACTCAGCTTAATTGGTTCCATTGTGGTAACATCAAGAAAAGTTACTTCTGGTATATATAATGCACATACTACATGAGCCCACTGTCCACACTCAGTAGGTTTTAATGCACCATCTTTAGAAGGACATAATTCACATTTCTGAAATTTATTTTACATTCTTAGAAATAATTGATCTTATTTTACTATTAAACAGGGCCTGCATATCATCTTGATTTTATAAAAATTATAACATATTTTAACACACCAATTACTATGATCATAGTTTAAGAAATACATTTGAAATCTATAATTATTGAAATAATAGAAATTTATTGATTTAAAGTAAAAAGTGTAAAATTTTTTTTTAATTTTTATAAATATTACTTGAAAAAAAATAAGATTTTTAAATATGCTAGAGTTAATGAGATATGATTATCATGAAGAGTATGTCTAATCTCATAGATACAATTACTTAACATAACATTCCATTTTGAATCACGAGGCATATTCAGAAAGTAAGGGTACTATTTTTATATTAATTGATGAGTTGGTCCAAAAAAAACCCAGCACAGTGGGGTCGCGCCATAGTGGGGACGTTGCATAGTTGGGTCTAGTATAGATTTAATCTGACAGTGATTAAAATCACTATCATAAGAAACGCTTCGATGCAAATCTATATATTAATAGATTAGATAATGTTTAATTCTAAGAAAGTGATGGATAATAACAAAAGCAACATCAACTTCTATTTCCTTAATTATACCCATATTAGTAATTCTTTTAATTATATAGTATATAATTTTTTAAATTAATTGTTTTCAAATTATTATTGATTTTGATTATAATATGTTAAAAGTAATAATTTTGAACCTACTTTTTTTTGTCCTTTAAAGTCAAAGTTTTAATAAAAAAAAAAAATGAATTTATTACCATAACTTTTAAGCTTTTAAGCTCAACTTGCAAGTTTGAAATTGACATTATTAAATAGAAAAAAATGAAATTGTTTAGATTAATATGCAATCAGGAAATTTTATAATTACTATTTACAGTACATTTATCAGAAAAATTCGATTTTTTTTTACATTTTTATCGTAATGGATCACTTAAATAAAAACCATAGTAATCATTTCTAATTAACTTTTGGTGTTTAAAAAGATTCTACAATGGAAATATTCAGAATTTAATTAATTTTAATGATTATATATCAAAAAAAAAGTTGTTAAAAAGATTTACTCTATTGAGCTTATTATAAAATTTGATTATAATTGTAAAAATCCATCATTAAATTCAGGTGAAACTAAAAATCATTTTTTTTTTTTAATTTATGATTTATATAGCAACATGTTACAAAAAAATTTGGAATATTATAGACTGGTAGTAGCACACACAAATAGAGTTAAAAAATGAATAAATCACAATGTAAAATTATTTACTTTTGTAGTTGAATACTTTTATCAATTCAAATCTAATTTGACAATAAATACTTTAAGAATATTAGAAATGAATGATTTCTATAGTTTGTATGGATAAAGCTGGTTACGCTACTTTTTATTTTCTTAAGGGATTTTTTTCAATTTTTAAGAGTGATAACTTAAATATCATAATCTTAAATTAATCATTTGGCGTATCGTTGAAAAAAGTAGGTCTAGTGATGGTTGGCAAAATAAATCGTATCCACAAAAAGAACCACATAGTAAAATAATAATAACATGAATATATATTTCTTCTCACGAGGGGACACTATAGTGATAGGATCCTTTATATTTATTGAAGTTATTGAATCTAAATTAGATAAATATCAAATGATTTGAAAATTTTATTCCAACTCAAAAAAAATGCAAAATATTAATTGCCACAGACGGATTTGAACCTCATACCGTAAGCATAAAAGACACAAATGTTACCAACTCGGCAATGGTTCGTTGCTTTCGTCGCTTGATAAAATTGGCTATTTAAGCTAACTCAAATTTAAAAATTACTTTTTCGACTTGAAAAAAATAAAAAAATTTTATTAAGTTTAATTTCTTATGTCTTATGAACTTTATTCTGTGTCAATTAAATTATATAATATTCATGAAAGTCAGTGTATTGCCCTTATAAGATATTTTTAAATAAAATACAAAACCCAGGATTTTAACACATATTAAATAGCATATTTTTGAATACAGCAGCCATTTGCACAGATAGGTCGTTGGGACAAATTTTTTTTTTCATTTTACAGTACATAAAATAAGCTTTAATTTGGTATATGTTTAAAGGACGCAGTATCTCCGAAACATTTTCAAAAATTAAGTTGAAAAAGTTAGTTTTTGTAAAAAAGTTGCCATTTTCCAACCCCTCCAGTGAGCAGGTTAAGTGTTAATTTTCAAAAAAAAATGATATCAAATGAAAGGAAAGTATCTGAGGTTGATTTGTTGATTTTTGAAAAAATTATGGAAGTTTTAAGGAAAAAATGACAAAATTTACTGATTTTTAAATTTGTAATTTTTTTGGAGATTTCCCCCATTTGCGGGGAACGAGGGAAAATTTTTCAATTTTTAAGTGTAATGTCTCCAATTAGATACGATTTGTGATCTTTTGACATATTGTTAAAAAAAATCGGTCCAGTGAAAGCTAATAAAAAGTAGTGACAGGCACAAAAAAAAAAAAATAAATAAATAAACACATCATGGTAAAATTAATACCTTTTCAGCTTTGCATCAAAGCTAAAATCGAGGTAACTATTTGTTAAGGCTGTAGAATAACTATGGATGAAATATCAGTGATGTTCCCACAACTTTCAAGGACTCTCTTATACAAGATGATAATATCAGAAACACTAGAATAAAGAAAATTCAAACTTTTATCTTTTGATCTTCCTAAAGGGTTATATGAGTGGAAAAAAAATTTTCATGAGGCGGTGATGCAAGAGGTTTTAAAGTCAAAAAGGAATTGGCAGGAAACATCTTTGAAGTTAAGAGGGTATAAAAAGACTTGTTCCACGGCTCAAAACTTTCATAAATCAGAAAAGTAATAACTTAGAAAAATAACAGACAATTTCCTATAAAATACTACTTTATTCCTCAGTAAAATTATTTTTAAAAATTAAAAAATTTGAAGTACCCTTACTTTCTGTCTCATAGAATAGATCTTTTAGATATAATCATATTATCTAATATCAACCATATTTGTAAATAAATTGACTATTAAGGTTATGTTGATAATTTATTTTAAAATTATTTACTCTTGAGACCTACCACTTTAATATTTTTTTCTTGAAAAGATTCACATTTTCTGCAAAACCATTCATCTTTAGGTACACTACGAATACCATAACAAGCTGTAAAAAATAAAACAATATTAGTTGTTGATAATAATACCTTTTTATAATAGGTATAAAATTTATAGTATTTTAAACAAATTTACCTTGATGTACAGCAACATTACAATTAGGTCCATCACAATATACTAGAGGATTTTCTGCCCATCCAGTATCATCACAACATACACTACATCCACCAAGCATTTCTTTCATTTTTGTTTTGCACTTAAGATTTAAAATAATTAGATTAATTAGTATAATTAAAAATCATAAACTAAATTTAGATACTCACAAAATACTATAGAACACTGAAATTATTTTAAATTTTCTTAGTGAGAAATTCTCTAAGATCCCACTAGGTTTAAAATATTACTATGTTGTTCTTTGAAGCTTAGGTTTATTGCAGAAGTTGAATTTTTTAGGTTCCGATATTTACACTAAATTTTAATAAAATGAAAATATTTATTGACATATTAATTATTTTTAAAGATTTTATTTGATGACAAATATTTTGTTTAACATGAAATAAAATTCATTACCAACAAATATATATTTTCTTTTTACTGGACTATAAAACTTAGCCAAAACAACATTAATGTTTCTGATAATGTATATTTTTAAACAAATATTAATTTAACTACGTGTTTTTTTACAGTAAACTAGGTAATTGATAGTACCTAATAGTACAGAAAATTTTCAATGATTTTGGAAAAAATTACGTTTTACCTACTGTTAGTCAAACGTCAAACTAACATAAAGAAATATTTTCTAATATCATTTACAAAATGTTCTATAACAGTAAAATATTAACTCTAAATAGATTTTTTTAAATAATGCAACAAATTCTAAATTTTTTTTACAAAATTTGAAGCAAATGAATCAAAAAGATGAATAAATATATTGTTGATATACTACAAATACTTACTATTTAATATACAGAACTAATTCGTAATGCCTAACTGTGGACTTCCACAAAGGATACGAACTTTTTACAGAAAGAATACATTTTATGCGGCGTATAACATTTTGCGGTAGGTTCCAATAGTCAAAACAAATATCAATGTATAAGCGACAGATAAAATCAATGATAACGGATAATGGAAGAATGTGAGATTATATTCATAGAACCCAAACGTTGGTAACGGTGGTTAACACTGAACGCACCGATGTCGCTTATCCACTACCAAGTCGACAAACTTTGATGTTTGCCATATTTGTCTAAATTTAGAATAATACACCGAGAATATGGTAAAGGTTCGCATCCTTCCCAATCATAAAGGTAATCCTGCATTTCTCGTAAAATAAAAGTGTTTTTCACCTGTAAATGGAATTTCATTATAAATCAAAATTCTTGCAACGTTCAAAACATTAAAAAACATAAATGGCCAAAGCAACACGATCTACTTTCTTATGAAAAAGTAAGCATTTGCCAGTATATATACGATTTGGAAAGTAAAGCAATATTATAACACTACAAAAACTTATATCATAATCATTATCTACAGAAATATGTCGTTTTATTGATAAATAATGCATTGATTTGATTTATCAAGTGATTATTAATTTATTAAATAAAAATGCATGTATAATTAGAGGATAAAGGTTAACTTTACCAACACCAAATCTAAATAATTTAAATATTTCTAGTGTAGTAGTATCCTATCGAAAATAAATTATTAATTAATGTAAATAAAATGTCACTTTCAATATTTTCAGAGATTTCTTCACAGGGCGTTATAGAAGTATCGAATCTATTTTAACTATTTTTTCATTTTTAATACCAAAATTTGTTTACAAAAAATGTAAAAGGTTATATATTTTTAATAAAATTTCACTCTGTTAGAACATGTTTCCCAATCCCAACCCTTTTTTTGCTTTAGGATTGTTAACATCAGTATTTTATTTCCAGTCGGAGATAAGTAGTTTAGTAGGATCTTATTGGTTATATTGGATAGAAATGTTCTTGTGATGAACCGGTCCTTTATAATACGGTTCTGGTTTATTACTTAAAGTTTTTCATTTTTTTTTAATTCTAAGGTATACTCGAACATAATCTGTTATAAAATGCTTGATGACTGGTAAATATTAATATTAAAGTAAGAGGAATTAAACATCTCAAGAAACATCTGTGAAAAGGGGATTAAGCCAACCCACTCCCTCTCAAAAGTTATCAGTACTTCACAAAGTACTGATATCTACATTATGGCCAAGTTTGCTCTTTCTTTATATCAGTACACGGTAAAAATATTCGAAACACAAAATATCGGAGTAAAAAAATATCTAAACGGAAAAAATATAAAAGTATAAAATTTCGTAATTTATTAAAAATATAAATAATTTTCATTATTTCTTATACATTAAAAACTAAATTAAATTAAAATATATATTAAAAATTTCTTAAAGAAAACGGTAGCACAGTGTGAGCGTGGCATAGTTGGATCAAGTATAATGATATCTGACAGTGTTTAAAATCACTATCATAAGAAACGCTTTGATGCAAATCTGTAGATAGTGTTTAATTTTAAGAATTGGAGGATTAATAATTTTTAACCTACTTTTTTTTGTGAAAGTTTATAGTAAAGTAATAATAATGAATTTATTGTCATAACTTTTAGCACAAATTGCAAGTTTGAAATTGACATAATGATATAATATAATATGATATATAATATATAATAATATATAATGATATAGAAAAAAATGGTATTATTAAGATTAATATGCAGTCAGCAAATTTTATAATTACTATTTACTGTACATTTATCANTGCAGTCAGCAAATTTTATAATTACTATTTACTGTACATTTATCAGAAAAGCTCGATTTTTTTGCATTTTTATCGTAATAGATCACTTAAAAAGAAATCATAGTAATCATTTCTAATTCACTTTTGGTGTTACAATCTACAATTAAAATATGCAGAACTTAATTAATTTGAATGATTTACTTTAACAAAAAAAAAAAAACAATAAAAGAAAAATTTACTCAATTGAGCGTATTACAATATTTCATTATAATTGTAAATATCAATTGTTAAATTCAGGTGAAACTAAATATCATTTTAGCTTCGATGCGAAGCTGAGAAGGTATTAATTTTACTATGATGTGTTTTTTTTTTTTTTTTTTTT